GAGATTTAAAAGTGAAGATTCTAGCCATTGTGTCAGTTACTGACTATTCTCACTTCCCAAGAATTGCTTCCTTGAAAGGCTCAAAAGTGCGCTCTACAAACTGTTCGCCGGTTTGAAGTAGTACGAGGTGGCATTTCTCACGCTTGACTCACTTGGCAAACATTTTCCATTATTTGGCAAAAGTATTATAGCTTACTCATGGCGGATGCGGTTACGTACCTAGGTTCAACACAAACATTGTAGTATGTCATTATGCAGGGAGTAAATCTCGTATGTTCAACAAAAAACTTGCAACTAATTGTATTGATCTGGAGAGAGATCCTGCCAATTTCATTCGTAATAACATTCCCGGTCATACTCGTTTTAGTAAAAGGTTGCCTCTTGTCTGCATTTCAAGCACATGCTTGGGTTTCATAGCGCTAGTTTGATAAGAATCAAAACCTCGTTGATCTGTATCTACCTGTATCGTGTAGTCCTACAGCAGAAAGATGCATTTATACAAACGTAATTAGTCTGTCCTTTACATTATTTTATGATTTTGTAGGTGATGTTTACGCGTTTTACATCTATAACAAGCTCATCTCATACTCGATTCACTGACTATCCCTTGTAAGAAGCAAAACCCCTAATCTTGAGCATTCAACTAGCTTATCTTCTTCTTGATATGTATTTCTTTCTAGATTGAGGAAAAAAAGGTTAAGCATCGTACACGAGAATCTGAAGAGAAATCGGAAGTAAAAGAAGAACCGACAGACAGAAGGCCGGATAAGGGAGAGGAGCATTTTGACAAAGAAGAAGAAAAAGTATGATGTTATTGTTTATCTTTCACTGAAAAAAGTCTTTGGAATCTTCACAGATACTGAAAGAATTCGACTTTTACCACGGTTTTCTTCCACGCGAGGACTTATTCTTATTAGTCAGACATGTGGGCGACTATTTGCTGCGTGTGAGTGAGGTAAGAGCTTCTGCTTTCCACATAGAGCTTGGTGTTGGACAAAAGCGGACTTGAGAGTGTGGAATAGCGGGTACTTCTGTCCATCCTTGCGCCTTATGCACCTCAAAAGGCAGCGTCCCTCCAAAAATTCGCACTCCGGTTTTTCAGTCTTTTGGAGCCTTCTTGCCATGCTAAAGCCATATCTGGGCTTTTCAGCGCATAAAAATAATAAAAATGAGCTTTTTTTCGAAGCTATCCGTGTCAGCGGCCGCTCCGAATGCATGTGAAAAGTGGG